CCTACTGCGAGAAAAAAAATCTGCCTCGTCAGTTATGTATCGAAATCAAGATCAAGTTCTTTTATCACAGTTTGTTGTTGCCCTACCGTACATAGATGAGACTTGTAATTTCAATGCAAAAGCTGTCACCTTTATCTTATTCCTTTTTTGTGTGTCGGTGTAAAATGCGCACGCCATAGAGATTTTCGAAATTGACACAGTTATTGTAATGGATAGCGGCTCGGATTGAGGAATCAGAGAGCCGAGTTCGAATTCCAGTCCAATTCATTACATTCACTTACATGCTAATACCCTTGGGAAAGGTATAAATCCACTTCTTCTGACCCCAGCTATGGGTAAATAGCAGGGCAGACCGGGTTCTATAGCATTGGATGGCAACTGGTCTACCGCAGAAGGAAATGGCAACCTACTTCCTCGTCAGTCATGTATCGGAAGATACATGATCGCTGAAGCGTGTATCACGCATGGAATATAACTGATTGACCAGAGCAAAGAGGTCAGCCAAAGAATTACCATGAAGGTATTTCTAGATAAAATACAGGGAGGCAACTTTACGGCGGTGGGAAAGTGACTGAAGCCGAGATGTAAGGCTAGGATCAATAATATTGCGGATTCTTCCTTGGATTTTATCAAGGATTTCTATATGTACAGCAGGAGCACCGGACCATATGTAGCAGCAATATTCTCAGCATGGACGAATGGTAGACTTGTATATATGTAAGTTAGATTCTGGAGAGAAATTATGTCTATTACGAATCAGTGAACTCATTTTGCGTCCAGGCTCTTACAATATACGTGTAACCCGGATATAAGAGAAACCCGGATATAAGAGAGATTTTCTCTGGTCCCAAATTAGAGCCCATACTTACCTAAACAAAATAGACCAAACCCGGATATAAGAGAAACCCGGATATAAGAGACTTCTTCTCCGGTCCCGACAACTCTCTTATATCCGGGTTACACTGTATCACCATTCTTGGTAGATTTTAAATTGACACTGTGGGATTGTCAGGGACAAAGGCGATAGAGAGAAAAAAGAATACAGATTAATTTGGCCCGATGGAAAAAAAAATTCTTACAAAAAATTTTGGTACTACCAGCGTCTCTCGCGTATCAAAGACTTTTCCAGTTTGTCATATTTTTAAAAAATACTGTTTGTTGATACACTATTTACATTATTCGGACTATTGTCCTCATCTTTGTTGCCATATTTATTACAACGTTTCGGCCGTTGTACGCTCCAGCCTTTTTCAGGTGGTTGGAAAGTCGAAGTGAACCCTTTATTTCGCTCACTGGGGTAGACTGTTCTGGTTCGACATGCCATGTTTCATGTGAGTTATCAGTTATCTCATGTTAATTCCCCCTCTCCAAGTTCACCACTGCCTTAACTTTGTATTAAACTTACACTCTTTGGGTCCTAATCACTGGATCTAACTATATATATATATATATATATATATATATATATATATATATATATATATATATATATATATATATATATATATATATATATATATATATATATACATATATATATATATATATATATATATATATATATATATATATATATATATATATATATATATATATGTATATATATATATATATATATATATATATATATATATATATATATATATATATATATATATATATATATATATATATATATATATATATATATATATATATATATATATATATATATATATATATATATATATATATACATATATATATATATATATATATATATATATATATATATATATATATATATATATATATATATATATATATATATATATATATATTAAAAATATTAAAAAATTAAAATCTTCAGACACTCTGGGTTGTAGATTAACATCTTTCGTTTTTATTATTATTATTTCATTTAGATTTCTCGACTAGTTTCGGCCAACATGGCCATCATCAGGAGAAAAAAGATTTTTTGCTTGCTGGTAGCAGTAAACTACAGAAATGAATGTCTTGATGGAGAAAATGAAGTTTTGTCTGTAGTTTTCATTTGTTTTTTTTATTTTTTTTATCTTTTTAACATGATTTTTTTAACATTCCTTGTGTTGGTCAAACAGTCTTTTAAGTTGTTATTTGAGATAAGAGCTGGATGGATCCATGCTGCTCTGAATTCCCTTGGTCATTTTGACAGTTTTATTAGTTCCTTAAGAGGGGATGTGTCACTGTTAAGTGTGTGTGTGTGTACTATTTGTTTCTTAGGGAGTGAGTGATTATGATTTGTGTAAGCGTGTATATTGCTGTGGGTGTGTCTCATCATTTGGCTCATTAGGGAGTGGGTGAGTATGATGTGTGTAAGTGTGTATATTCGTGTGGTGTGTGTATAAGTGTGAGGCCTCAACACCTCCGTAAGCATGTCTGTCTTGTGTGGGTGAGAAATGTGAGTAGGTTTTGATTTATAGGGTTATATATTAATACTATCTATATTGTTAAATTTATGGTTTAGCCCGGCTGGATAGTGTGTTATTAAACGTTGTATCCACTTATTTTCATTGAACTCTAAAATCTTTCTAATGTGATCTACTCCGTACTTTTATTTTATATATATATATATATAT